GCGCTGGCATACTCGCTCCCTTCATGTCGCTGCGCGTCCAAAGTGCGCCTGTAGAGTGCCTGCTCTGCTAGTGCTGCTTCTGTTGTCGTTCCTAGCTCTGCTGCTAGCTGCTCAGTTGCTGCAAGCGTTTCCGTTTCCGTTTCTGTTTCTACTTTTGTTGTAGTTGTTGCTGGTAAACCTGCTTCTGCGACTACCGCATTTTCCTCAGCTGTTGCCGTTGTGCTTTCCGGCAGCTCGGCAACTTTTGTTGCCGCCGTTGTTTCTGAAAGTATACTCTCACTTTCAACCGCAGACGTTTCTGGTAAATCACTGGTCTTAGAAGGTGCATTTTCTGCTGTATTACTACTCAAGGTCGTTGATTCCCGTGCCTTTTCTGTGCTGCCACCAGACGAAATTGTTCCCAAATCACCTTTTTCGGTGGTTGTCTCGGCGTGCAAGAGCTCCTCTATCGAGTGTGGCATTGTTGTAAACGCCGCCAGCGGCACATCTGTTGAGCTGCGGACAGATTCGATAGCGGACACAATAGCTCCGTGAACTCGTTCCTCTAGATGTGTTACTGTAGGTTCTGTTACCGAAACTATTGTCCCAGGATCACTTGTACTTTCTGTTGTTTTTGCTAACCCTTCCTGAACATCTATTCTTTGGTCCTTTGTAAGCTCTTTTTCAGCTACTGCCGCTTCTGTTGTTGTTTTGCTTGTAGTTGTTGTTACCAAGGAATCACCGTTCGAAATCGCGATCGTTGTTTCATCGTCTGTATTTGTTATTGTACTCGTAGTTATTATTGCTTTAGGATCATTTTCGGTTTCCTTTTGGCTTTCATTAGCCACATTTTGCTCTATGGGGGCTTTTGTAATGGTGTCTTCTTCTGGCGTTATAGTTGTCACAGCAACTGCTGGACTCGTTGTTGGCTCAGCTGCAAACTTTTCTTCTGCTAGTGTTGATTCGGGAGTTGTTGTTGCAGTATCTGCTGCCACCTCAGCTGCATTGTATTCGGCAGTTGTTATCGCTTCTGGTATTGCATTTGTTGTTGCTACAGTTTCATCTCCTACTTCTTCGCGTATAGCGTTAAGATATTTATTTGGTGCGCGGGCTTCACTTTCCACTGCGTTCGGCTGGTTACTTTCTTCTGGCAAATTTGCTCGCTTCACTTCCTCAACTTTTGCAATTTCAAATTCTGCAGCTTTTATGGAGTTCTCAACCGGAGTAGGTTCGCTTGTTGAGCTATGTTTTCGTTCGTTCTTATCACTTGTTGCTTGCTGCGTTGCTTCAACATTAATCGCTGCATCTGTTGCTGTTTCTGCGACCTGATGGGCACTTGTGGCAGCTAAGCCTGCCATAGGTAAGTCTTTAGTTTCTCCTTCGACTTCATTTTCGGCTGTGGGTGGCGTTGTTTCGGTTGATTCTTCAGCCTTTTTCGTTGTTATTACTTTCTTGGACTCTGCACCCTCGTGATCTACTGATTCCATTGAATACTTGGTATCTTCGCTGTCTGGGCTTTTATTGAAATGTTCAAGTAGAGCTGCTGAATCCAAAGAGGAAACAGTCTCTGTGTTGCTCTGAGCTTCTAGCGTTTCGGTAGTGCCTTCAGTGACCAATGTTGTAGTAGTTGGTTCCGCTGACACTTTTGGCCTTACAGTTACTACTAATTGCTGTGGGCTATTGGTCACTGCCTCGCGCCAACCTTCACTTTCCAACGATTTATCCAACAAATTATCACCGTTAATTTCATTTGAAATATTTGCGATGGGCGTTGGTTCGCTGTGCGTGGTTTCCGATGCTATTGTTGTTATTGGTATGGTAGTTGCAGCATCTGCCGTTTCGATATTCATTATTGCTTTTGTTGTTGTTGTTGCTATGCTTGTTGTCTCAATTTCGCTTGGCTGCCAGGTGACTTCGCCTTCCGGCAGCGTTTCACTGTCACTCACCGCCAACAGACCATCACCAATCGCCAATTCGGTGTTTGTTGCTCTGTCTGGTTTCGTTGTTGTTGTTGTATCTGCACTAGCCACATCGGCTGTTGTTGCGATGGTGATATTTGTGCCTGCCATTGTTGCTGCATTTAAAGCAGCTGCCAAGATCTCATTCGCCGCGGCTGCCGCTCTCACTAATTCATTCAAAATTACCGGACCAACGGTAGTTGTTGGAGCGGCAGTTGTCGGCTGTGCTGTTGTGGTTGTTCCAATTACATCCGCAAAGCTAGTCGTAAGTGTTGTGACTGCACCGCTATCCTTCTCGTCTTCCAGCATTTCAACGGCGCTAGCGATTTCGCGTTCGATCGCTTGCCGCTTAGCTTCCTCAGCTCTCCTTCTCACCTGCCACTGTCTCTCCTCATCTGACGCCTGCTCTTGCGCCTTAATATCGGCAGCTGCCGCTGTTGTCAACTCCGCCACAACCGCTGCCACTTCGGCCAGCGCTATTTCCTCGCTCGTCATGGGCAGTGATGTGGGCGCCAGCTCGGCTTCGGTGTCCACCTCAGTTGTGGCATATGGCTGCGCGTTCTCCACGTTTACTGCGGAGAAGTCAGTGGTTATGCTGTTCGCGGACTCCGCACTAAGTTTGCTTATCTCCAACGTAGCTGCTAATCCTTCCGCAACCGCTGTGGGTTCACCCGCTGGCGCTGTTTGGGCGGCTGGCATGCTGAAAATTAGCAATACCGCCAACACACAGGGCAGCCTATATCCGCTTAGGGCGTGTAGTGTTAGCATATTTATCCACGTGTTTTTTTTTTTTAGAGGTTTTTGGAATTTTGCGATTTTTATTTTACTTATATATTTTTTTTGAATGTTTTCCCTTTCGATGGAATGTCGTTATTCGCGTCGTTCCGTTTCTGCGATTAGCGCGGTATTGATTTGTTTCTTGAAACTCGCTCGCGTGTATGCTCGGCTCGCAGCACCGTATGAATTTTCAATTTATGCGCAACCAGTTTGGTTTATCTTTTTTTTTTCTTTTAGTTCAACCAGCTTTGAATTCACTTTCAGCGGCGCGGCTTTTTTGTAATTTTCTGGTTTTCCTTGTTATTTTCTTTCCCGTTCTGCGGTCGTAGTCTAGTCAATTACCACCAACCACTGTCAACCGTCAACAAACAAATGGTTAACGATCTCTTAGCCGCTGCGTCTACTCGTAAAATTATTCTAAAACGCTTTCGAGTTTTTTTTTGTTTTCAAAGCCGCGCGTACGATTTCTGCTACGTTCACTAATAAATTAATAAAATATTTGATTGCTGCCTTTGTTGTTGCCTTAGTTTCAATTTCAATTCGCCAACGCGAGCTATCACTCGTGCGTGTGTGTGTGTTCGTAAGTACCGTTCACTTTGGTTGTGACTAGTTGCGTTTACATTCGGTGAGGAACTAAACCCGCCGCACGGGTGCCCAACAATTTTATACAAAATGCATTTAAATTTTTGAGCCAACCGGTCGACGTCTTTGACTCTGGCGGCACTGCCTCTGTCTCAACCACAGCTTCAGTTACGGCGTCAGCCTCAGTCTTTACGTTTATTAGCACGCTTTTTTCGCGTGAGTCGCTCTGGCTGCCGGAATGCCGTTTTATTGGCAAGCAGCGGCTTTTGTTGTTCTTTGGCAGCTGCCGTTAACTTTGCTATTTTGTTGATCTTTGCTTCGCTCTCTGCTCCTGCTGTTTTCAATCTTGCCTTTAATGCTCTTTAATATCTCAAAATATTTGTATCTGCTGGAAGTTATTGCAATCTTTAGCTGTTGTTTGTTTTGTTATTTTTGGAGTCTGCAATACACGTATTTCGTTCAAGAGCTTAATAATTCTTTTTGCGCGGGTTGCTGTTGATTGTTGTTTTATTTTTTTGAAAATGTTGAGGAATTTCACATGATTCAATATGAATATATGTATGTACATACAGTAAGTATGCAGTGCCTGTTGATGTGGATATTGTGGAGGTCTATCGATTAGCTGATTTGGTTTCCTTACTATGGGTGCAAGACATGGGTTAAAGAAATATTAAAATCTCAAGGCAGAGTCCGCTTTGTACCACTTTGGACTCTAACTTTCGCTGCATTACTACACCAATATTTTCTGAAACTAAGTACCTCATTGTGAGGCTACCATGGGTAAGGCAACGAAAGATTTAAGACACGAACTTTTCTTGTACAGAAAATGAAAAATTGTTCCTTAAAGGGACACTACAAACTAATGATAAACGAACTGGAAGTTGAAATGATCCAGCTTTCATCTGGCTTGGAATTAACAATTATGGTTCTCACTGAAACGATTTTTCATCCCAACACGCAGACACCCATTTCATTTCTCAAAACTTTTGCTCTCGTTTTGTGCTCTAGCAGAACGTTCCTCAGACTTTCTTTTTCGATAATTTCGTTCGTTATTTTGTTCGCATTGAAAACGCTCAGAAAGTTTCATTCTCATTCTGTTCTTCTTGAGGGCGTTCCTGGGAGATATGTTCGCGTTTTGTTCTTTACGGACAAATCTCTTATCATGTCCGTTCTATTAGGCCGCAGAAACATGAACGACGACGACGAACAAAGAGGAGAACGCTTTGGCGGTTGCGAGAGAACAATGCACCTTTATGTTATTTTACTTTGATTTGCCACTTCACGTAAACATATGTACCTACATACAAACATAAATTCTTATGTGATTAATACTTTAAAAAATGCATTATTTCCATTCCTCATCGCAGTTAAATATATAACATTTCCAAGCAACTCAGCACCCAGCACTCAGCGTCAATGTAAAGTAGTGCAATAACTAAACCCGCACGTACCAATGGGCACACACACACACACACATGTTTCAGCGCCTTTACGCATGCGCACAGCTGCATTACATTTGCTGCTATTGCTGCCACGGACGAATAACTTGCCTGCGACTTTGGCTTGTACAACTTTATTATTGTTATTGCTAAGTAAGTATTATTATGGCTGATATTTCAAACTAATGCCTAATTATAGTCTATGATTAATGCCGTTTACCGCATTTATTGTTGCTGCCTCTGAGACTTGCCGATCGTTGTTGTCGTGCGTGGCTTAGATTAGCGCTTTTGGGCGCGTGCTATAAAAGCAGGAAAACCAAAACGCAAAAAAAAAACCTGAACTTGGTTGATTTTGCATTCTTGCGTTTGTTTGCTTGGCCCCCACAGACCACCTTCCTTTGCCATTAGTAGACATTATTTACTTTGTTCATTTTAAATAAAACTTGGTATTTCGCTTGCATACTCGTACATACATACATACATACATACATACATAAGTGCGCGCACAAACAAGTATGAATATGTAAATATTTATTGCATTTCGTGAGTTTGTTGCTGAAATTTTTTGTTTGCTTTGATTTTCCAATGTTTTGCATAATTTTGTGTTTGATTTCGTTTTTTCGTTTTTTTTGTTGTTAAATTTGAGGAGGGTAGGCAATAAATGAATTGGCAAGCGTAAAAATTGTGAATTAGCTGTTGATAGAGCGAATTTATTGGTAAACAAGAGAAATATGCTCTTCGAATGCTCCCATACTCGAATGTATTCTATTTGTTCATGGCGTTTGATTGCGTAGGCCAAAAGCTGTGTACAAAATTCCAAAAATACACGGTATCGGTTAGTAATTAGCTGGTTTTTAGAAAAAACAAAATGCATGGCGGTTTAATGCGGCGAATATTTAAATAATTTAAATCGACTCAGAAGCAAGCTATTGCCATTTGTTATGGCGAAACGAGTTTGACTTTGCTTTGTTGTTATTATATTTATTATTTTATTCTATTTATGTGAATATATCGAGCCTTAACCGCCAAAATAACGTAAGCGAAATTTTTTTCAAAATTTTCTTTTTGATGCAGAAATGTATCTAGATAATCGAGGAATATTTCTGCATCAAAAAAAAAAAATTTGAAAAAAATTTCGCTTACGTTATTTTGGCGGTTAGGGCTCGATATAGTTACCAGTTTGCTTTCGATTGTTGCCGCTTTTGGCCTGATCGCCATGTGTGTAATTAAACTTACTTTGCTAAAATTTGTTGTGTCTTTCACTTTCTCACTCTATTCTAGTTAGTGTTCGCCTAGAGAATTTTTATTCGATGTTTTCACTCTTGGCTTGTTGACATGTTTGCTTTATTTTTTATATTTAATAGTTAAGACCATTAACAGTGGAACTGGCTTTAATGACAGTGAAGCTGATGAAGGCACTTGCTGCGCTTACGGACGCAGTGAGTTAGCTTCTAACCCTATTTCTTATTTATTATTATTTAATATGAAGCGTAAATATATGTATTTAGCAAAATAGAAAATATGGCCTGGAGCTTTGAAAGTTTTAAGTGATTAAATTTACTTTTAGTTTAAAAACAATAGGAAGTTAAGTATCTCTTTCTTTTTGAATTTAGCTGCAAGTGAAAGTCTTTGGGATGTTAAAGTTTAAAAGAATTTGTAAGTAAAAGCAATGCGCTAACTGTACGTTACTTGTTGCGGAAAGCTTTAAATTTGTAATTTTTAAGCAAAAAAAAACACAACCGACTTCAATGCTCATATAAAAATTTAGGAGTACCGTTAATTTCGTCAAGATCAATTTAACGGAAGTAAACTAAATTAGTATGGGATAGGCCTGTGATATCGTCTTTCCGATTAGAGTTATCGAAAACGGTTAACGTAGCCTGAAGATATTCGGTAATATACATAAAAAAATAAAAAAATTCCGATGACTTGATAACCTCCTACTTTTTTGAAGATGTGTAAAAAGCAAGACAATTTGAAAAAATATTTTTTGAAGATATTTTTTGATGCGACGAGATTGTGAAAGAAGTTTAAGGTTTATTTTCAGGGCTCCAACGAAATCATGTCAAAATTTACCCCATCTTTTCTACAGAGAATAAAAAATAAAAAAAATATTTTTGTTTTTGGATATTTTTGGCCTAGTAATAAATACTTTCAACAATTTTATTGAGCTTCCGGCCGTTGTTATTATTAGTTTTTAATCTTATATTTAAATTGACCTTAAATATTATTCTCTTCTCATCTTAAAAAAATCGTGTTGATTTTTGAGAATTTTTTTTTTGGAGGCTACTCTTTCGGGGTTTTTAACATAACAAGCACAATTTGCAAAAACTTGCGTTGGTATTTCGAAATTTTTTTGCTGACGGTCTACCGCCTGTTTTCATAAGAAATTCATACTTATATGAAAAAAGTGCAAAAACCCGTCACCAAACAAAATTCTCAAAAATCAACGCGATTTTTTGGCCCTTTGAAAGTTGTAACTTTGTAATTTCCAATAGAGGTAAGCAAATTTGGCGTAAATTTTGAAAATATTTATTTAAATATTAAACGAACTATTTAAAACAATAAGCAGAAGACATAATTAACAGAAAAACTCAGATACAAGTGGTAGCTAATTTTCAAATGCAAATATGTAACTCGAAAACTGAAGTCAAACCACAAAAATAGTCATGGCAAAAATGGTGAAGCTGTGTAAAGTATCATTCAGGATACGTCACAGGGTTTAAAGTGCTACTGTGTGTGAAAAAAAAGTATTAACGTACATGTGTACATATGTTTACACTCATTAAGGCGGTGATAAAATATCGACACCGAATGTTGGTTGAATGCAGTAAGGTAGCTGTGAAATATTAATGATAATTGAATCTTGATAATACGGCCACCTTAACAAAACCCAAACAT